TCTATATCTATGGACAGAATTTTCATCAAAATGCAAACCTCATAGGAACAAGGATGTAGTAAATGATGGTATGACAATCTTCTCAGTAAAAATTCTGGGTTTGATCCTACATTGTTCAGTTATGTAGTGCTCTCAAACAAGCAAATTTAGAAGCATCTGAGCAGACTTGCTCTGATGCTGCATAACAAAGAGCCCTGCGGACAGACCGTGAGCTCTTCTTGGCTAGCAGCAGTGCAAAGACTAAGAAGGGAGCACGTATCAAACCTTCTCAACTGTAGACAGGTGATTACACTCGAGCCCATTTTTCTTCAGAATACTACTCCTTATTACACCCCTTTCCATTTTTTTCTTAGTGTCCTTGAGAAGATGGGAATGAGAACACAAGGGGACTTGAGACTTAGATCAATTGACAGAAGACAATCTCTGGCATATAAACCAACTGTACGCACATGTGGCCAACTTGTGTAGCAGTGTAACAGCTCTGTGCTCTCTGCTCTCTCTCTCTTGGCCTAACCCAAACCTAAATGAAGCCAATGGAAATCTTTCCACCAACGGTAACAGCCTTTCGATCAGGGCTCAGGCAAGGGCCTGCCTGGATTAAAGTCTTACTTTGAAGGAGGTAAGAGAGCTCATATTACAAAACATCTTTACTACTTACAATATATATTATAGAATATTTACTAATATACTTTAATGTACTGTCTTAGATAGTGTTCTTTGGAGATTTCCATTAATTGTCTCTGTGATGGTTCTTGTAATGTTTGTTTAGCAAGAATTAATTCAGTTCTTATATGGCACAGTACATGGAAAAAAAACCCTCTGTAATCCTTTTAACTGACTTTAAATGCTCATTTGAATATAATTATTTTAGAGGATTAATAAAAAGTATTTTTTGAGTTAGCAACAAATTAAAAGTTTAGGAAAAAAACAGAGGTTGTTTTATTGTCTTTGCATCTCTCTTTAAAATCATATTAATTTTCCTTACCAACACAATTTTATTGTATTAAAATATAATCATGGTAGAAAAATTTCTCATTATGTTAGTAAAAATGAATACAAGGTAGATAGTATACTAACACAGTGACTGTAATCTGCTAATACAATAAGGCCTTCCTACTACTTTTAAACAAAAATGTAGTTCTTGATCATTTTGACATATTTCCAAAACACTGTCTCAAAAGGATAAAATGTAGCATATTTCCATGCTTAAGGAAAAGTTTCTGATGTCCTCATTTACTGCTAAAGACCAAGAAACAGCTGATGATGCATAATTTATGTTGTAGTAGATTCCATTTCTGTACTAGGAAACCGTGTATACTTTGTGGAAATAAGCATGTACATGATCATTTATGGTTAGCTAAACACGGCTTCAAGCATACGTTCCACCGTGTCCTGAAGCCTAACAATCTAACCTCCAGCCAGTCTGGAGAAATCCGATGTGAGAACCTACTGTGGGGACCAGGCACGTACACAGGCATTAGTTTTTCTGATATCTGACAAATTTGAACACTTCTGCTACAGTTACTCATTAAGCGAGTGCTTCAAAAAGAACTAGCAGTACACTCGCTTTCAGTACTGCTACATGAAAATAAGCAAAGGTGTGGAAAAATACTCTGTTCAGGCTTGATAAAGTGCACGCTGGCAAATATGGTGGTAGTATGCAGAGTTCATCCTAAAAAGCACCAGGAGCACAGATTATTTCCCCAAACGAATACAGGATATCCTCTTCCTCAAGAAAATTTTCTCAATACTATCTCATGGCAGCATGAACTAGAAGTACCACAGTGCTATACACTAATACTCGGTTACTCTACCATGACAATACAAAGACCAACCCCCAGAGCTGCTGGTTTCAATTCCTGAGCAGACTGTGTGCTTTGCTCTACAGAGATTCCCGTAGCAGGAACCTCATATTCCTGTTGCCACAAGACAATACATCTGACAAACTAAACTATAACATCTGAGACTGAAATCAGTGTCTGTAAATATCCAACAGCAGAATGTAAAGGGAGGAAAAAAGACATACAGAGAAAATCACCTAGAACCTGAAAATTCATAGAGATCCTGAAAGACTCAAACTTGGCGTTACATCTAATTGCAGCAGACCTTCCTTCTAAAGTTCAAGTGGTTTTTAATAATAGCATCAAAAATATCTAACCTGTAATTACTGTGTTGCACTAGTTTGAGGTTCCATGGGAACCTCAGAGGCATGACTTGTTTCATTCATAAGAGTCATTGTTTGGCAGGTCTCCAGGACAGGAATTCAAGTGAGAAAGGAAGTTAGATCAGTTGACCAAAAGCAAATAAATCAGATTATTTGCATATTTGCTTGATGGGGAATAGAAAATTGGCATGAGAAGAATTCATCACTGAATCAAGTTTTGGACACAATAGCAGCCCTCATAAATTTGATGTAGGGACATCACTGTTGGTCACAAGGCTGTGCTGCCTTCTTTCTTCCCCAGAAAAACAGACTTTACACATTGTTTCAACAGAAAACCAGTAAGTTGCAGATTCTGTTAAGTAGGCAGCAACCTCTTCTGCAGCTTCAGCAATCACTGACCTTTTGAATACAAATGTTTCAGGATTGCTGAAAGCCAGGGAGGACCTCTTTCCACCTTTTCTTCTCATGGAAGAACCTTTGAGAAGTCAGAATTTGTTGCAGAAGAACTGGAGATTAGCCTGAAATTTGGCTTTTTAAAATAAAATAAAATGAAATGCAGGTGAACATTTGAGTACTTAATTTTTGTGCACTATCAGTGCCAATCTGTGCCACAAATTGGCTTGTGGATACTAAATAAGGAGCATGACATTTGGATAGAAATTGTGTCATGAAATTAAACTTGCCTTCTGAAAATGTATCCCTACCAAACATATAAATATACAGGTCATAAAGATGTCACACACCATTCAATTTTTGCAGTGTTCTCAAATTAGCTCACATTAAGAAAATATCATGCAGCCTAATGGTCTAACATCTTGCCAGAACAAATGGCAATGAACATCCAATATCAATACTTTTATCAATTACCACTTCTCTGTATACCAAATACAATCAATTATTAAATGTAAATAAAATAAATCTCTTAAAAATTGATTTCCTAGATGAGAGGAAAAACTAGTTAGCAAGCTGAGTGTGAAATTTACATGTAGTTCATGAAAAAGTGATTACTTACGGAATTAATTGATTTTAGAAATGAATCTGAGGATGTAAAACTATGGCGTAAGAAGGAAACGAATCTGAAGATCTGTTTTATGTCCATGAGAAAGGTGTTTATTTTTCCCTTCCATGCACAGCCAATCCCAGAAGCTGTGATCCACCAAGAAGTCCCTACTCAAAGCCGTATTCCCTACTAGCCATCTTCATAATAAACTTCTGCCCCTTTCTCATTCCCTTCATAGCTGAACTGTTTGCCCACAATGGGCTTATGTCCTGATTTGGTGTCAGCAATTCCTTTCTCAGAAGTCTTGATATGGAGATTTAGTTTTCAACCCGCCAAATCGTCACTCAAAAATGCATCTTCCTACAAATTATTTCAACCACGAACCCTCCCATCTTTCAGACACGTTTCAGTGCTAGTGATGTCAGCCTTATCCCTTCATCTTTTTCTTGCATTTTCTCCATGCCTCCCTTCCTGTCGCTCCTTATATGCAAGATGTTCTTCATAAATCATATTCAGGCTGCTCCTAAATACTTGTTTCATCTGTCTTACCTATGAAAGCTGAAAAGACAAGAAGGTGTTAAGATTTCCCAAATAAGCAAGCCCTTTACTGCATGATTTGCACAGAGTTACTGGTCACCTTTGAAGCACCTAGCACAGTGCTATTTGGCTCAGACTCCAAATGAGTTTCCTAGAGCTTTTCTACATTCTTGGAGCAGTTTAAGGAAAATGCGAGCTCTGATACTGGAAGACAGTCCACAATGAACAACCTTGTGAGACCTGGGACCAGTGTTTTTGAGGTTTTCTCCTTACCACATGAATCCAAGACACTAGTGGAAACTTTAAAAGTATTTTTCCATCCTTGAAGAGCAAGGGTGCAGATCCTAGCAATTCCGTCCCAGCAGAAACACTTAGGCATCGTATAAATTAAAAGGTTTACTTTTGGAGCAGACGCCACACTCCTTTATGACAACTAGGATTGCTGCAAAACTTGTCACCTGCTTTTCTTCCAGAGCACTGCTGTTAATTTGGACAAAACCACCTCGCTTGCCCGCGTTGGGCCGTCAGATCCTTCGGGAGCCCTCCTGGGCGTGAGGAAGCTGCCCTGTTCCCCCAAAAGCGGCCTCACTGCGAGGAGGGACCCCATGCCCTCACAGCCCCCAGGGGAGAACGCCCTGCCTGCTGCAGCACCACCTGCCTGCCCCAGCGCTCACCCGGCCACTTGGCTCCAAAGGCTTCAGCAAGAAGTCTTCGTTGCAGAGATTTTGCGAAGTTATGCTCCAGCGAGTAAACAACTGCTCCAGAGCCAGGGAGCTAAAACATTCCCCCAGCAACACCCTTCCAGAATGAACACGTGAGCACAGACGTCAAGCTCGACAGACAGAACTGTATCTTTAGCAATAACGTTTTCCTTTCTGTAATCTTTCAATAAGAGCCCATAAGAAAAAAATTCTAGCTCTCTAAAAAGCAAAGACTGACCAGAGACTGGAGGTTCTTGCTGCGGTATCGCCCGTAAGCTGCCGGCAGCGGTGGGCAAATGCGAAGTGGCAAATCGTGGAAGAGCAAGGAAGAAAATAAAAGTGAATAGCTTCAGCCTGTGCACTTAAATCCGTTCTCTGAAGTAGTAAGTACTGGAAACTTTATGATGTGCTTGTCTGAAACGTCTAATGTTAGTTACTTTTCTCAAGAGAAATTAAAACATTTCTGATTATGTGTTTTGCTGTTTCTGCTTCTCTCTTCTGCGGGTTAATTATGTTTTTTTCTCGGAATGGGTGAGCTCACTTAACTCTGGTGTCTCTGCAGTGACCTGAAGTGGCTTGTGCTTGTTTAAACTGGAAGATGTGGAGTGGGCTGTTACCGCCAGGACTGAATGAAAGTGATGCTGACCTAAGCTCTGATGAGGGAGATGAATCGCATAGTTCTTTTTCAAAGCAAGATGCAAAAGAAGATGTCGAAAGAGTTCAGAGTTCAGAATTGCAGGAGAATGGACCTGAAAGTAGTGCCAGCAGTGAACCCCCTTTGCTGTCGGTGGCAGATGGAGAAAACGAATCTGAAACGTGCCCCTCTGGAGTTCCTTTAAACTTGTGGAATGTGGGTCTAGAAATATGCAGAGCAGACATGCAACATAATCAAAGCCAAATGACTAATTTTTTAATTAATATAACTGAATGTTGAATATTCAATATATAAATGTGAAATGAAGTAAAATAGGATCAGAGTGCAGTCATTGCAATATACCTTAGATTGTTTCAGGCAGAGTGGACAGGAATTTAGGTAGGAAGTGAATGTAACTTTCTCTTTTTCCTAGCGCAGTGGTGACTGAAAGCACAGCAGGGTGATGTTTGGAGAACTGTACAACTGTGTAAAGACTTGTGTTTTCAGTAGTGTCTGGACTCTGAGCTTCTTCATAACTGCTTTCTGCATTAGTGAGGACTTAAAGCTATCGGCCACTCTGCTGGTGATGCCTGTCTGTGAAGTAGAGGTGTACCCTTCTGCTTTCTGTAGGGGTTGGTTGCAGACACTCAGACTCGTAGTTGCTTATAACCTCTTGGTTTTCCTGTTGAATGTAAAGACTGAAAGAAACCTAAACAAGGCAATCTGTGTTTTGTCCTTTTGAGTCAAAATAAGAATGGGCAAAAACTAGTTACTCTCCTCTATGCACCGATCCGTGTAGGTAGCCTGCTGTGCAAGGACTACGCTGTCAGTACCAGCTAGGCAGTAACAATACTTTGAGTAGCTCAGGAGTGCACAGCCAGCAAAAGTGTATTCAGTGTCATGTCCTGTGAGCAAACTGTCAGTTTTGAATGGTCCTGGGATTTAGGGAGGGCAGAAAGTCAGAGAGAGGTGATGAAAGACAGAGTCAATTCCAATTTAGCGCCATCAGAGCTGGGTGTTCTTGATGCATAAATTTTAATGTAATAGCTATAACAAGGTACTGTGGATAAATAAGATATTAAGACAACATTTCTTAGCACATTATGTAATTTTTTTAAAAATGGGAAAAAATCTTAAGCATACTGATTTGCGTTTTCTTAATCTTGTAGAAATTTCTGGAGCTTCAGAAGAAAAACCGTGAAATGAAAACCCAAGCAAATCAGGGAAACAAAAGCCGAAAAAGAAAGCGCCACAAAAAAGGTGTTTTATATAATTACAGAATTTATTTTGTCAGAATGGAATTAGTATCAAATACATTGGAAGTGTGTGTGGGGGGTGTTTTGGGGTTTTTTGGGGTTTTGTTTGGTGTTTTTTTTACCAATAATTGAATGCTTGAGTAGATGTATTGTAGCTCTTACCTAGTATTTTATTTTTCCAGTTGTATGCATCACTTGCAGGACTAGGTTGTAAATTGCTACTTCAAGTACTACATTTGTCCCTTTTTTAAAAAGGAGGTAGAACTTAGTTGATTTATGATGGCTGAGTGCATTTCAGTAATTCTATAAAACATACTTTTGTGTATTCTGTTTAAAACTTTTTCACAGATATTGTAGGAGGTTCTTTGTATGAAAAGTCTTGCAGCTGAGTGGTTTAAATCCACATGATCATTGGGTAAAAATCCTGGTGTGTCAATCTTTCAAAGGAAATGTGACCAATTAGAGTTCTGTTAACTTAATTGGGTGCTGTAGGGTATTGCTGTGTAATGTTGGATTTTTTTTTTTGCCCCCCCCTAGAAAAATGGAAGAAGGACAATGAAGTGACTAAAAGGTATAACCAGGTCAATGTGATTATCTGAGGTCTGTTTTTAATATCGGGCGAAACTTGTAAAAATCTTGCCACATGCACGGCCAAAGCCGAGCTGTGAATGTCTTGTAAAATATCTGCTGTAGTTGTTTAGTGTCTCTGTTGTGCCTCTTGCATTTGATACCAGTGTGAAAGAGTTTATTGTTTGATTTTAAAAATCAACACAAATGTATTATTTATTGTAACTTAACATGGACTTCATGATATTCCTAATAGTGTTTTGCATGTAATTGCATACAGGCTCCTGTTAGTTCAACTTGCTTCTTCTTTTTCCTCCATGACAGTATTAGGTTAATGGTTGGACTCGATGATCTTAAAGGTTTTTTCCAGCCTAAATGATTCTATGATTATGTAAGCTTGCTTTCAAGACTGGAATTACACTTACTGAGGGGAAGGAATAATCAATTTCACTACCATTAAAAACTGAATGTGTGAAAAGAGAATGTCTGCCAAATGGAAGAACGTCTTTTAGTGATGAAAAGAATATTAAGGGAAAGGGAACTGGGTATATTAATGACTTTTTTGTTGTTGTTTTTAGTAGTCAACAGTTGGCAAATGAAGAAAAATGGAAAGAACTTACACAATACTTTGGAATCAATGATAAATTTGAATCACCTGTGAATAGCAGGGCTCCACAAAAGGTGACTGTTGATATAAAAACGATATCAGTTTGTACTTAGCAGTTAAAGAACTCAGCCTTAACTGAGATAGGAATAAAACTGAGATTATTTGAAAGTGAGTAAATGATCAAGTCACTCTGAAGAAGGATAAGTTTGTGCACATTTTTAACTAATTCCCTTTTAGATACCACATGAATTGTACTTCGATTGAAAGGTTGCTGTGCATTCTTTTGAGACAGTGTCCATGTTTGTTTCCTGCCTGTTTTTGTTTTCTATTATCGTGAGAGACAGAAGACTTCACATGCAGTTTCACTTTTGTCTTTTTGTTTTTTTAAGTTGTGTTTTAACTTTAAGAGGTGTTAAGTAAATCCTTCAGTTGACGTCAGTGGCTATAGGAATTAGAGGTCCAAGCCTACCATACAGTTTTATTGGATTTATAACATCCTGTTCATAATTATTATTGTGTAACTAGTCATATTTGAAGCAACTGGTACTACGTGATGGACAAGTTAAGAAACTCATTATATTGCGAGTTTGTCGTAGCACCGTTTGTTCTGTAGTTTTTCTAGTAAAGACCTGTATAAGTTCTATGACATCAAATGTTCAGTTAGCCTCCTTTGTGATAAATTTTGTATTTTTCGTTTGCTTGAAGTAAGTTTCTGCATGCAAGTCATGAGGTATTGTTTGCTTCTCTCTGAGTTCTTACTTTTGATGGGTATTTAGTTGTCATTAAACTGCTCAGGATAGATGTGGAATGAGGCCCAAACCATTAAAATGCAGATGCTCCCCACATAAGTTCAGAGATTTTATCATTAGTAGAACACCTGATTAATTTCAGAAAAGACTTCTAACAGAAATGGCTATGACTGCAACTTCCAATTGTGCACTTTTTTTCAGCTTCCACCTCAATAATTCAAGTGCAGTATTTGCAAATCACTGCTTCTCAGCATTTCTTTTTGCTTTTTTGCTTTCATCTTTTAAAAAAAAGTGTGTTATTTAAGTGTCAAATGTGTTTTCTTTAGCATCACTAATATTTAAAATAAGTGAGGCTGCAAATTCTCTTATGAGAGCAAGTTTTTTTGTGAAATTCTGAAGTTGGTGCCTGCTGCTGTGCTACCCTTCTGTATTCCTTCAGAAGTGTCTAACTATAATTTCCAGTAAATGTTTACTTTTTATTGTTACGTTATTTGTAAATGTTGTAATTAAACAAGTTGTGTTCCATTGATTGTACAGGTTATTTTCTTATTTTGAGAAGTTACATTCTGAAGCTTTTTCATTGTTTTCCATAGGACTGCTATAATTTTTAATTTACTAGCACAGTGGAGTGGCACCGTGCCAGAACTCAGTTTTTGGATAGAGATAAGATCTTAGAACTGTAACGATACAGTGGTAATTGCCATTCTTCATGTTACCTGACACGTATATTTTACATTTTGTTTAGAAAGCTCCAGGGATGGAAGAGATAAGCCAGATCTTCAGATGAAATTTTATTGTGACAGGCATAAACTAGTCCGTGTAATTTTTTTAACCTACAGTATTATCCTGCACATAAGGTGGAACTAATGCAATGATTTGTGTTCAGGCAGCCTTTCAGTGAATTCTTAATTATACTGTCCATTACAATACATAGACAAAGTGATTTGTGTTACATAGAAATTACAGGTTTATGCAGTGTCTTAGAATAAAAGTGTCAATGCAGTGTCAAAGAAATATTTTTAGAAAGGATACGCTCTCTTTAAACATGTGATTTGTCCTAAAGATATTTGCTTTTCTTTTTCCAGTCTGGCCTTGAACTTAGCATAGAGAAGTCTGTGGCTGAAGGTGACATCGATAAGGCTGAGGAGCTGAGCGATAGATTAGCTATTCGTGAGGTAAGTGGGCTATTAAGAAAAGCTCTGAGGAAACATTTAGTTTTGTACATCTGTAGGAAAAGTGTCCTAACTAAAACAGTGTTGAAGATTGCTTGGGGCATCTTGTCTCTTGCCTAAGCAGATTTCTGTCATGATTGAAGGATATTGCTGCTGATCTAGTAATGTTGGACAGCTATAGCTATGTATAAGACTTGAAAATACAACCATGAACGATCCCAAATAACCTTGCTTTAAAGCGTTCATTCCTAGTCCCCAAGTCCAAGGAGTCAGTAACTAATCATCAGTATAGAGCTTTTGATTTTTCTGCATGTCACAAGCCAAGAAAACAAGAGTAGGATGTTCCCTTCCTGTCGGTTCCCTGTGCCTCAGATTTTTATTTGCATTCCCTCTCCAATAGGCTTGGGAAGCCTGAAGAAGGGTAGAGATTTTGCAAGACTAGAGCAAGACATGCCTGAATAAGGACAGATATACCCAAACTTGTGTGCCAGTATGTTTTTCTGTGTGTGATCAGGTGTTGATGGCTGGGAGAATTCTGAGGAAGAATCATACTAGACGGATGTCAAACATACAGCTGTAGCCTTGGAATGATGTTTATAGATTGAATGGATATGTTGGTTTATCTGAGTAATTTTATGAACGCTGTGCTGCTCTTTGCTACAAAAAGTTGGACCTTTTAAATTTGTATGTACTGCTGAGGGAATACTTAAACTGGTGAGAAATCTACCAGATAGCTCTGTTAATTGCAGTTTTGTATAAGAAATATACATTGGTATATTGGAATATAAATTGGTGCATGTATGGTAGGTGGTAGCAGCTGGTGTATGTAATTGACATCCAGGAAGGCTATTGTACCCACTGCTATTTATATGCAGGGGAGAAAATACAAAGGAAGAAAATTAAGACAAAAAGATAGTTGGAATAGTTATGAAGGCAGGTAAGGAAAAATAACTAAATAAGTACTATTTGAAGTGAGTGGAGAAGCTATCGTTTTTAAGTCCTCTTATTTATATAACTTCAATAGCCGAAATATATGTTAGAAGAATGAAAGCAAAAAATACATAGTTTCTATCTTGCATACTCTTCTATCTTCACAAACTTAATGGGAATTTTCAGTTCACTGTATATACTAGCAAAATTCAAAGGTATTAGAAATGCATTAAGAAAGACAAACTCCGGATACTTCTCATTCTCATACAAATATTTAAAATGTTTCCTAAGTACAGGGTTTCAAGCTAAGCTTTAATGTAACATTGCAGAATTAAATCTGTTTAATACAATGTAATACAATATTATGATGGCTTTAAAAACAGATGGCTTTTGGAAAGGGAAATACAGTTCTTAAGGTTCTGTAAATAAGGTTAGGTAAAACTAACTGTTCCTCAGTGCGTGTTCGTACACAATCATTAAGCACCTCCATTTAGTCACTCAGGGCAGTTTCTAATGACTAGACTCTTACCTGCCTTTTCACCAGTGATCACAAAACTTCAGTCTGCAAAGATAACAGCTATTCACAGTGCTAGGGGTGTGTCCTAGTGTCCCCTTTAACTCTGACCAGCTTCTCACTGTGATGCTGTTATATTACCTTTCGTGTGTACGCCGTGAAAACCACATGCTGTTTTCCTTCACAAATGTCATTATCCCATCTACTCTAAAGTGGTTAGAGTATCATAATCAATAAAACATACTGAGGTTCTAGTGCAAATTGTTTGACTATAAAAACAAATTAATGTAAGAAGTTTTGAGGTTTTGTAATATTTATGATAAACTGTTATCTGATTTCGGTAGCCATGGGATTGTACAACATCTAGCGTATCCCAGGTGCTACAGCGATGTATTATTATTTGTGGAACATTAGCTCCAAATTGTTGACTTTCAAATATTAGCATGTTGTAATTCTGAAAACAAAATGCTTGAAACATTATTAGTATTCACAGCCTTGACGTGGTTTTGGTTAAGTGGGTTTATCTGAATAAATAGTATGTTGAAAGAAGGAAAACTCAGATGACTCTGGCTTGATCTCATGAGGGGTTCTGTCGAGGCAGAATCCATGTGAATTCAGTGGGGTTCTCCACTGTTACAAAGATGTGCTACATAACCCACTGCAAGATTCGTTTTTCTTTGTGATTTTTAAGCAGCTGTATTTTTTTAAAATGGATCTTTTAAAATACTCTGTTCTAAGGAAATCATTCAAACAGTGACTAATTCTAATTCAGTGAAGAACTATAGAAAAGGATTTGATTATGGAAGAGGTTGATTCAAAAATCATTGTTTTGTTTACACGTACAATTAATAAATTGTTTTCACATGGTATAGTATTGATCCCATTGCTACTTTCCTTCTCTTTTAAAACTCGTTTAACATAATACTTCTTAGAAGTGAGTTAATTTTTGAAAGGTGTGGCTGTTTGTGTCCCTCTAACTCCCAAACGCAACACAACACCGTGAGGAAGTCAGGCATAGAACTATACTATGACTGTATTGAAGTGCACCACTTCTGAAGTCTAGAGAAATAACCGGATGAATTATTGTTCTTTTATCTCAACTTCATCTTTTTATGTATAATTTTCATTTTTCTTGAGCGATGTTGCAAGGTTGGGGGCAGGGAGTGTATGAGAAACAGCTGCCTTCTGTTTGGGGTACAGCCCCCCTTGCAGCCCTGTGAAAAATGTTCAGTGGGTAGGTGTTCTTTTTGAAATCAGGTGTATGGGGTTTTAATCGGCACCATTTTCTTTTGCAAGAAGCAGTGACTGGAACCTGCTGATAAAGCTTTTGCTTTGAGGCACAGATCCCAGAGTTCTTAAAGCTGTTTCCTGCCTTAATAAGTGAAACTAATTTTTGATGTATAACATTTATAAGCCTGTGAAACTGATAGGGCAGCTTCAGTATTTAGAAAAATGAAGCCAAAAATAAACAGATGATGAGAATAGGCAGTAAAAACATGTCGTGAAAAGCAGAGGAATGCCAGAATGATGCTGTCAATATGCTATCGTTATGACACAGTGAGAAAGGGTTTTTAGAAATCTGAATCCTTTAAAATCAGTGATGATATAGGCAATGTGCATAATCTAGCAGCTGTGAGTGGATCACTGAAATTTACATCCTAAAAGCTGAAATGATACCGCTTCAAGGTTTTGGGTCTTTTGGTTTCCAAGTGCTCCTTTTTGCAGGTTCTTTGAGGAAAATGTCATTGTACTGCTGTAAATGAGGCTTTAGACAATATATTATTTGTTGCTTTCTTCTGCTTTGACAAATACGCACAAATGCTGATTTTAAGACAAAACTTCTTAATCTAGTAGAATTTCAGGTTTTGGACTGAGAGAAGTTAGAACTTTGATACCTTATGCATGAGGCTCTGTATTTACTGGTGACTGCATGTGTGGATTCGTGTGTAGCTTTTGAGACTAGCTAAAAATGTTTTACCCCTTCTTATTGGCAGTTGCATCTGTACTAAAAAAATGAATTGTACTTAGGTGGTGACGCTGATGATATTCAGTCTAATCTCCTGGCAAGCCTCACTACCAAGTATTACCTCTTGTCTCCAGTTATCGTCCTAGTTTGTGGGCTAGAAAAGTGGTTGCAGTTAGTTTGGGAGTTACCAGGGTGGCAGATCTGTAACTGTAGCATTGTTGGCCTTCCCCGTAGGATGTCCTCTTGTGGGGTGTTCCGCTTCACTAAAAGTTGAGTGATCCTGAAATTCTTGATTGGATGATTTTATATGTGAGTGAAATTCTTCCTGAAAGAGTACGGGTATGTCTGCATTATGTTGTGCAGAATAACTTAGGCCATCAGTAACTCTGCTTCTTCAGCTAGACTGCTTCTAGAACTCAGTCTAGCTTGAGCATCTCCGTGCTGTGGTGCAGTTGCACTGTATAAGATCAGCACTCCTTTGATAAATTTGTGTTGAGCATCAATATAATGCAGGTGGGTCACACTGTTTAATCTTAATTCACTGTGGTTTTTTAAACATGTGGTTAGACTGAGTTATTTCTGTAATACCTACAAGGTAGTACTAGAAGTATTAAATAACTAGCAATTCATTGTAGTGTGCGGGTATAATATGCACTGTTAAGGTTTATTATTGTAATCCAGTTGCTGCCTTTGTAATAACATTCCAGGGCTTTCAGCATTGGCAGAGAGTCATTCACGTTTTGAGTTCTTTTTTTCAAATGTAGAATGGCATACGTAAAGCTGTTGTTTGAACACTGCATTTAATGATGACTTGTTTAACGTGAAAGATGCCAACAGAAGAGTTAATATTAACATAGGAGTTACCAAAAAAAATTCCGAACCTTTTAAAATGAAAGTAGTTGAGAGAAGTAAGTTTATGTGGACACTGAGCTGGGCTGAGACAACAGGGTTTCCTTGGTGATGCTCTGGGGTAGGGTAGTTGAGATTTAACGGTAGCAGATACTTGGATATGTAGCTGGAGAACTTGGAATTATGTCAACTTTTCTGACGCTTTCAAAAAAAGCTTTCGGAATAATACCTTGAAGTGTACTTTACTTGTTCCTACTGTACTTATGGGTATCTGCCTAGATTTTTTTTTTTTAAGATTAAATGTTGATAAATTAGAGCACTGTGACTGTGTGTAGTTGAAGGTGCTTATCCTTTTCAGTAAGGATGTTATGTGGAGATATCTGGTAATTTCACTTTGCTGTAAATCAGTTTCAGTTTGGAGTGATACTTGTAGAAGTTCTTTTCTGAATTGAAAGAAATAAGTTCAAAAGATTTCCCCCCCACATCCCTAATATATAAACTTGAAAATATTTTCCAAGCTTTTTTTTTCCTCCAGAGAAAGAATTTTTCATAGTGCTTGTGCACTTAAATCACTGTGTGGCGTCTCAGGAAGGAGAATGCAGATTTCTTATGGCTCTGATATTCGGAGAACTACTCTGGCTAAACCTCAGACTTTGCATTATGCTTGTGGTTTTTGTGTTAACTGCCTGGTAGGTAGGTGCCACATTGTCTAAGAGTGTGTTAGCCTGAGGACAGTAACTTGAA